CTCTGAGACTCTGTTACAAATTATGTCAAAAGTAGAGACTTCAAACTATACACCAGTTTTTAAAGACTGTTCCACAATAGTAATCAAAAATTCTCAATTTAGCTTAATCTGTCCAAAAACTTTGTTCCGGACGTCTTGTTTGTTTATATTCAGCATTACAAACCTAGCTGTGCTGCCATCTTTGTTTTTAGGGATGAATCCCTTCTTGGTTTTGTTTTAAGACCTGTAGAGTCAGGGGTGAAGCTTCAAAGAAAACTCTCTTGGACACCCAATCCTAGGAAGATTTGCAGCTGCCTTCAGTGATTTCCACTTGTTAATAATCTTTTGGTCTTTAGAATGATGGGTTCCTAATAGTTTGGAAATGACCTTTAACCCTTCCCAGATTAATGAGCAAGAATAGTTGCTTATCTAAGGTCATCGCTGATGTCTTCCTGCCACGCACACATTCGAATCTTCCAGAGTCCAGACCAACAAACTGACAAAGCTCTGGTTTTATAGAGGTGGTTTGACCTGCTGACCACCTTGATTAGCAGTACCTGGCTGTCCAGTTATTTGTTTATTCTTTAACAAGTTTAAGATTAATGAAACTGTAGAAATGGAAACTTTGTACACCCAAACAACAGCCTGCTTTAATAATTGTTTTAATTTTTGTTTACAAGTTTGTATAGAACCTAATAAGGACTTCTAATCAACTGCATGCATTTGGATCAAAGTTTTTTTAAACACAAGATGCTCACTGATAAATACCATTCTGCCCAGTCACACGCTGGTCATTGATCACCATTYACCCTTATACTGTTTTCTTTTTTCTTTTGGGGGGGGAGGGTTAATCCCATATATTCGCAGTAACTTTTTTTTTTTACCTCTACATGTATATTTTTAAAAAAAAAATCTTACTTGTTAATGATTTAGAGTTTACATTTGGAAGCCTCATTAAAAATCTGCAGGACTGTTTTCCTACCTTTTACCCCAGAAGCAGTGCCTTATTAATGACTGGATGTTGTTGTGGAGTTCCCTTCTTTAATCTCATCCAACAAAATTGTATTAGTTTGGATGTGAAAAGCAAAACCACATTTGCATGTTGCACAAGTACAAAAATCAGTTCTACATGTATGCAGACTGCAGAACTTGATGATTCACAGTCCAGAACTGCTTTTCTCTGTTAGCTTTCCCCAAAGCAGGATGTAAATGACAGATGGACTGGCTGCAGCAGCTCGTCAGTTTYTACAGGTCAGTAAAAGCAAAAACAAACAAAAACTGATGTTGCATACGAGTGACGATTCAAGAAAAAAAAGTTATTTAGTAATTCAATGAAAAGTAAAAACACTTGATGTCTGACAGCCYAGTAAGATGTAGAAGTTTGATCGAAAACACAGCTTCATTTTCGGCTCCTGTATCTGAAACATCCAGAGGACTGGAGGGTCTTTACAAAACTCTGCACTGGAATTAAAAAAAAAATGTCAGTGTATCATTTTGAGCATAGTGGTGGAATAT